TCTAGGGCAATGCCTTTTCTCCACTTTGAGAGGGGTAACATCAGCTACAGATACAGACATCATTTGAGTTTTTTTCTCCATACACGAAAAGTTTCCTTTCCATGCTGGCAACCATGGTGATGCCCTCTGCGTTTGGAGAAGACTCCTGTTTTAATCAAATCTTTAAAAAATATTATTTACACATTAAATGAAGTAAAACACTCTCCAGCTTCTCTCCTTTGCCCTTGCAAATGTGAACACAACACTATGCTCACAGAGCTCCTATATCTCACCTTACAAGTCATTAAAATGTAATAACTAAGCCTCTACAGCTATTGTCCTCAGGAACACACACACACACACACACACACACACACGCACACACCCCAACATGAGCACAGTGTACTCAGCTTTGAGGCTATAAGTGCTCCTTGCAAATGTTTAAACATCTCCATTCCTTAGAATAGATACACAAAGCAATTGTAGATGCCTTCATTCTTGTTCACACAATTTACTAATTCACATAACAGGTCATCCAAAATGGGTCATTCAGTTATTGGCATAATTATCCAGGTTCAGTTGTTAATATAATTAGGGATAATGTAAATGTGAGCAATTTTCCAAACCATAATTAATAGGGCACAACAATACACAGAGAAATAAAAGCCACAATTTTCCTAAATTGCTAGTCTAGTGCTCATTAGAGTAAGCTGTGTGGGAGCATTTGCCATGCACCAGGCCCTAGGCAGGGGATTTAAACAGATCATATCATTCCGTCCTGGACAGTCCCCACTGTACACATCAGAAACTGGAGCTGATAGAGGTTGAGCCCTTTGTTCACATAATCGGTAAGTGGTAAATTAAACATTTGTAGTTGGGTCTGTCTGATTTCGATCACTGTGCCATAGTACCTACTCCTAGATTAAACTTTTGAAAATAAATAAATGGTTTGGAGTTCCAGGGCCATCCTTTCTGGGACTATTCATTTGGATATGTTCTTGGGGGAAAATGAAAAGAGGAAAGGAAGTTGAGGGAAACACCCCTGCCTCCTGGATGCTCTTTCTACCACCTCTGCAGGCTTCGCCACCTCTTCTCACTCATCCCTTCCACGGAGAATGGTCAACCTGATCCATTACACTGCAGAACAGATTGCTCCACATCTGCTAGGGAGTAGTGCCGCCGTATGCTAAGAGTTTGTTGATAGAGCACAGTCAGCCTTCCCTCTCACTTATCCCGGGGTCACTTTGTAAAATGTGGCTGCCCTCTCATCACTCCCTCTTCACTAGCAGGACTTCTGCCAAGAGGGGGCAGCCCATTAAGACTGAGGCGAACTGCACACCACATTCAGACATCTGTAATCACACCTAAAGCAGTGTTTTTATGTGACTCGGGCTGTCTTTAGTATACTTAGGGTTACAAATGGCCGCACAGACTGGGGAACAGTGAGAGAAAAAGGAGCAGGTGCAAAGAGAAGTAGAATTGAGATAAGGAGAAAGAATAGCTGAGTCCATACATTTTCTACTTTCCTGAACTCGCAAGACATTCTTTCCTTGGTTTCCGAGAGACACAGGGTAACCTCACAATAAAATCCCCATGTGGGTATAAATGAACTTTAATAGGGTTTTATTTATTTCAACAGAAGTGTTCTAAGGCATATACTAATCAATGTTCAAAATGTCCCCACTAATAAACTCGAGTGAACTCGAATCTCTGCGAGGTCCTTAGCACAGATCTGCAAACTGTTCACTTGTTCTCGGGTCCATTCTTTTGAAGGCACCTTCCACGGCTTCACGATGCTTCTCAAACATTTTTGAGACAGTCAAACAATCTGAGAAATATTTTTTAAATAGTTTAAAACTTATGGGAATTCTGATTAATATACATTCCCGGCAAGAGTTATAGTTCTTAGATGCAGCAGAGTCAGGATATTTTTTTCCTATAATGAGATCCCTAACAATAATTTTTTATACAAGTAACTGCTTCTTTAGTGTAAATAATGATACAGAATTTACATGGAAAGCTTCATTCAATAAATCATCTTTGTGAATGGATATTTTCAACACTAGTGTTATATTTTACAATGCAAGATGTAAACACTTTTTATGCTTTCTTTTAGTGTTATGAATTATCTGAAAGAATATTTTGTTGATTGTTCCGCCATGGCTTATGCCCTTTTATTCCTGGAAAGATAAATCAAATTTTATCTGCATTAGTCATCTCCTTCTTGGAAATATTTAATAATGAGTAATGACAGAGTATGACTCTATGAACCAAGCCCTAAATGATGGTTCTTCAATATGGAAAAAATCTACAAGCATGTGGTAAAATGTGAGGGACTCTGGAAGGAGCATATCACATGGTAAGATGAGGAGAAAAGCTTGAAGATGTTAAATTTTGGAGTTTCACAGCTCATTAATCTATCAGATGTGTTCTATGAGCCAGACACTATACTAGGTGCTGAGATACAAATATTAACAGAGGAAGAGCTCATAGTCTATGAAAGAAGACTTAAAAATAGAGTACAGATTTAAAAGCCTCTCCTGTAGCTCATTGCAGCCTCAAATTTCCGGGATAAAGTAATCCTCTCACCTCAGCCTCCCAGGTAGCTAGAATGACAGGCATGCACCACCATGCTGGGCTGATTTTATTTATTTATTTTTTTGAGACAGTCTTACTCTGTTGCCCAGGCTGGTGTGTAGTGGCATAATCTCAGCTCACTGCCACCTCTGCCTTCCAGGTTCAAGCGATTCTTCCACCTCAGCCTCCGGAGTAGCTGCAATTACAGGCATGTGCCACCAGGCCCAGATAATTTTTGTATTTTTAGTAGAGATGGAGTTTAACCATGTTGGCCAGGCTGGTCTCGAACTCCTGACCTCAACTGATGTGCCCGCCTCAGTCTCCCAAAGTGCAGAGATTACAGGTCTTGAATTTCTTGTCTCAAGGGAGCCTCCTGTCTTGGCTTCCTAAAGTGCTGGAATTATAGGTGTGGGTCACTGTGCCTGGCCTGACAGCCAATAATTTTTTATAGCTATTTACAAGAAGGAAAAAAATTATATATACCTTTATCGTTTGTGGGAATATCTCTTTGTAGATCAAACTTTGGTATTATCCTTCTGCTTCAAGAAATTTCTTTAATTTGTCTTGTAATGAATGTTTAATTGATGAACTTTCTTTGACTTTGCTTGTCTGAAAAATTTTTTCCTTATTCTTAATTTTTAAAATACAATTTGTGACTGTAGAATTTTGGAATAATAATAATTTTTTTCTTTTCGTAATTTAAAGATGCCACACCATTGTCTTCTAGGTTGCATAATTTCTGATGAAAAGTCTCCTCTAATTCTTACCTTTATTCTTTTGTAATGCTTTCTGCTTTTGGCAAATGTAGGAATTTGAATGTAAAGTATCCCAGTGTTGTTCTTTCTTTTTCTTTGTATTTGTCTGGCTTGATGTTTGCTAAACTTTTTGAATTCGTGCTTTTATATTTTCATTTTATCTGAAAAATTCTCAGCTATTATCTCTTCAAATATTTGTTTTGGCCCATGTTCTCTCTATTCGCCTTCTAGAATTGTAATTCCATATAAATTACACCTTTGGGTGATGTTTCACAGCTTGTGGACGCTCTGTGTCTCCAACCACTTTATTTTTTACATTGTGTTTCAATTTGGGTAATTTCTTGTTTTTATTTCAATAGCTTTGGGGGCACAAGTGGTTTTTGGTTACATGCATGAATTCTATAATGCTGAATTCAGAGATTTTAGTGTACTTATCACCTGACTATTATACATTGCACCCAATATGTAGTTTTTATTCTTTACCTCCCTCCTATACCCCTGCTTCTGAGTCTCCAAAGTCTGTTATATCACTCAGTTTAGGTAATTTCTATTAAACAGTTTTAAAGTTCACTGATTCCTCAGTTGTGTCATGTTGACTGATGAAGTTGTTAGAGGCATTCTTCATCTCTCTTAACATATTTTTTATTTCCTATGTGGTAGGCAAAATGATGACCCCTAAAGATATCCATATCCTAATCTCTGGAGCCTTCAAATATGTTATACCGTTAATAGGAATTAAGTTTGCAGATGGAATTAAGGCAGCTAAACCACTGAATTAAAAATAGGAAGATTATCCTGGATTATCTGGGTGGGCCCAGTGTAAGGGTTCTTCATTGTGAAAGCGGGAGGTAAAAGAGTTGGAGCACTATAAGCCAAGTCATTCCTGGCTTCCATGATACAAAGAAGGCATGGAGCAAAAGAATGAAGTCAATCTCTAGAAGTTGGAAAAGGCAAGAACAGTTATTCTTCCCTGAGAGCCCCTAGAAAGCACTATTATCCTGCCAATACCTTGATTTTAGCCCAGAAAGATACATTTTGGATCTCACATGCGGAACTATAAGAGAACGCATTTGTGTTCTTACCAATTTTGTGGTAATTTATTAGAGTTACATGTTGTTCATAGTTATTTTGTATTCTCTTACAGATAGTTTCAATATCTATATCATTTCTGTGTCTAATTCTGTTGATTGCTTTTTTCTATTGGAAGTATTTTTTGTCTTTTTTAATTTTATAATTTTTGATTGATGTTCATAGTGTACATGACAATGTAGTAAGTAGCATTTATGTCTGGAATTGGGCATGCTTATTTTCTGCTATGCTATTAGTGATGAGGTAGGGAGGATTAAGTCAATCTAGTTAAAAGTCAGTCTGGGTTTGCAATTAGCTGTTTCCATGTCTGCCTTCAGTATACTGCTATCTTCAAATTCCTCCAGCATTACCTTGTGCTTGGATTCTGGATAACTTTCCTGAGCATTTTTCTCAATGTTCCTCCTCAACCACAACTCCAAGTTTGCCTTTGTATCTAGACCTAAGAGAGGATCTAGTTTCAGGTTCCTTTTTTTCCCCCAAAGTAGAAATTCCTTGTTACTTGGTGCTTGGTAGCCTGGGCGACAGAGGCAAGGGGATTCTGTTTTCCTTGTTTAGTCACTATCTTAGGCTCTGTGTCATGGTTTCCGAGGCAGAGTTTCCAAGTGACCCAGCTCCTCTCAATTACTCCAAGTGACCCAGCAGTAGGGGAGCTCAATTTCCTGGGTCTAGGATGGTTTTCTGCAACTCTCTGAGGAGTAGAGAACATTTACTTTTACCCTCCCACCAATCATTGTGAGTCTTCATCAACTCTCTGGTTGATGGTGCTTGTTGCCTTTCTTCAGAGGCAGAAGGTTTTGTTCCTTATGGGAGAAGTAACTGGGTGCCGTTTCATTCTCTCCTACAGCAGCTTCACCATCTTCCAGGACTCAACAACAAGTGTTCTCCTCTCTTTGATGCTGCTCCTTCTCATGGGCACACAGTAGGTTGTTGGAGAAAAACCTACAATGGACTATCAACTTTCCTTGGGTCTATAGCTCGGTGGTGTTCCATACAATTGCTTTATCTGACTCTCAGTCCTTAAGCAATTGGATACAATTTTTAGCTGAATTATTTCTACCCACATATATTGAGACCTTCTTCCATAGGTGAGTATTCTGTTTCTCCCTGGAGGTACATATCTTTCCTTAGATGTGGGTGGCTACCCTATTACATCAGCTTTCTGATAAGTTGAGAGAAGTTATCGTTCTGTAGATTGTACAGCTTTTTATTTTGGTTTGTGTGGGAGTATAATCTAGTACACTATTATATAATATAGCATACTATATAAGACATATATACATGTAGTGTATAATATATAATAATATATGTAATAATATATGTAAATATACAATATACTATACTGCAGTCTATTCTGGTGGTGCATTTATTGTATTTTTTTGTGATCTGTTGATGTGCTCTTTTAACATGTGTATTTCTTTATTGTCTCAGTGTTGTAGTTTTTTCTTCTATGGCTTGCATGTGTTCCTTAGCTTTGCTCACTGATCCCTTTTATCTCTTGTTATTTCTGTTTCATTTTTACTTTATTTAGGTGTTTTACAGATGAATTTGCTGACTCTCACTTGTAGGAAAATCTAATTGCTCTTTTCTCATATATTTTCTTATAATATCCGTGTATGAATGCCACACAACCCTTTTCATTTATTTTAGTAAAAATGATCTATAGAAATTAGTAGGCAATTCCAATGTTGGAAGAGGCAGATTAGCTTTGTTGATTTTTTAGTTCAAGTGCTCTCCTCTTAGTTGCTATAGAGATAAACCATTGTTTTTAAAGATGTGAAACCTCTGTGCATAATTGTGTATTTCATGTTTCAGACCTTTACACATTTCAGAGCCTTCTCAATCAGCCTTGTGTGCTTATTCTTTCACTGGTCACTGTTACCAAGTAGAGTGACTCCTGTCTTCCAGAGTGATCCATTTGCTTCAGAAGCAGTGTTTTTGTTCGCCCTTTGAGATCTGTCACCTGTGAGATGCTGAACGTTTTATTACTTTTCTTCTTGTGTCTCTAAGTATTTTACCTTTTTTCAATCTCAGCCCAACTCATAGCAGTTCTAAATAAAGTGGAGCACTCTTATTTTAGAGTGTACATTTTCTGGGAACTTATGACATCTTCCTCTACTAGACCCTTCCTCTTCTTCAAATTCTTCTCTGACTCAATATCATGGCTTTGGTTTATTGCTTTATGAGTTCTTACCCAGCCCTGATGGTCTTAATAGCTTTATACAGCATTTTCATATAGTTCAAATTTTTTGTTTTTTTCTGTTCCCTAATTTGGCCAATCAAGTATTTTGTAGTTTATTATTGCATTGTTTTCCCTCATTATCATACATGGTTTCCTGGTGAAAAGGCAGAAAAATTCTTAAATAACTTATAAGTTGATCTTACTGGAAGCTGGTAATATTTTTTAAATTGTTTTGATCATTACATAATTAAGAATGCAGTTGCATATGATGATTGATGGTTCAGTGATTCTCAAAACAGTTATTAGCAAGCACAATTTTAGTTAATATTCTTTTCTGGACCTTTTGATATAAAATATACTGATTACTAAACAGACTGCATTTACAAAGTAATCATTCATTGTCAAACACATATTTATAAATTTTCAGTTAAAGTTCCTAATTAGCATGAACATCATGAGTTACTCTCATTGAATTGATACGGAAATAGACAAAAGAAAGAAATAAAGAATTTTAATTAGTCTATGCAACCTTAATGTTGATAAATTTGCATTCTCTGTTGCGGGAAGTCAGGGACTCCAAATGGAGGGACCACCTGGAGCCGTAGCAGAGGAACATACATTGTGAAGATTTCATTTTAATATGGGCATTTACCAGTTCCCAAATAATACTTTCATAATTTCTTACATCGTCTTTAATCTCTTAATCCTATTATCTTTGTAAGCTGGGGATGTACGTCACCTCAGGACCACTGTGATAAGTGTGTTAACTGTACAAATTGATTGTAAAACATGTGTGTTTGAACAATATGAAATCAGTACACCGTGAAAAAGAACAGAATAACAGCGATTTTTAGGGAAGACAACCATAAGGTCTGACTGCCTGCAGGGTTGGGCAAAAAGAGCCATATTTTTCTTCTTGCAGAGAGCCTATAAATGGATGTGCAAGTAGGGAAGATATTGCTAAATTCTTTTCCTAGTAAGGAATAAATTATATTAACACCCTGGGAAAGGAATGCATTCCTGGGGGGAGGTCTATAAACAGCCGCTCTGGGAGTGTCTGTCTTATGCAGTGGAGATATGGACTGAGATACGCCCTGGTCTCCTGCAATACCCTCAGGCTTACTAGGGTGGGGAAAGACTCTGCCCTGGTAAATTTGTGGTCAGACCAGATCTCTGCTCTTGAAACCTGTTTTCTGTTGTTTAAGATGTTTATCAAGACAATATGTGCACCACTGAACATCGACCCTTATCAGTAGTTCTACTTTTGCCCTTTGCCTTGTGATCTTTGTTGGACCCTTGTTAGTAGTTCTGCTTTTTGTCCTTTGAAGCATGTGATCTTTGTATCTACTGCCTGTGCTTACACCCCTCCCCTTTTCAAACCCGTAATAAAAACTTGCTGGTTTTGAGGCTTGGGTGGGCATCACAGTCCTACCAATATGTGATGTCACCCCTGGTGGTCCAGCTGTAAAATTCCTCTCTTTATACCAAATATCTTTATTTCTCAGCTGGCTGACTCTTAGGGAAAATAGAAAGAACCTATGCCAAAATATTTGGGGTGGGTTCCCCTAATATTCTCCTCTTGGTTTTTTAAAATAACACGAAAAAATTTAAGACATCAATTATAATCAATATGGATAAATTCTGAAGGAATCAGAATCTATGTTGGGAACCATGGAGAAATAACATTTAAATTTTCTGGTTTTTTGAACTTTAATTGCTTTGTAGTTTTTTTAAAATCCAATTTGATTAAAATAAAACTGCATAAATTTATACATGGTGATATTGCAATTAGGGAATTAAAATGACAAATATAAATGTTTAAATATCTTACTGATTAAATAAGAAACTTCTGACAAGAAAAGCAGTTACCACATTGACCAAGTTCATCATCTAGATTTCCGTATCACCAGAAATGTCCAGGCTTTTGGAAGCTGATAGTTTGTTTTCCCTTTGACAAAATTTCTCCAAAATAAGTAGTAGCTATGAGTAAATAAATAAGTTTTGTGTTTATAATTTATATAACATAATTAAAATCTTAATGTATGAAAATACTAATGTACAAACAACGTAGTAAGTATGATATAGTCCCTATCCATACTAATAAAACATTACCGATACAATTGAAAACACTTAAGCTGTTTGTTCTGGGTTAAACAGTACCTTAAATTTAGACTTTATTATTTTCACATATTTCTGTCTATACTTACTATGTATGTGGGTTTCTTTGATGAATATATAGTATTATTTTTAATGTTTCAATTACATGCAAATAAACTGTGCGTATTCTTTTGAATCTAGATTTTTTTATTATACTAGGATTATGAGATCGATTTTTGTTGAAAAAAATGTAGTGTTGCACTAGTTCATTACTTTTTAATGCAACATACTATTTTAATATATGAATACAACACAATATAGTCCTACACTCAGTTCATGATCAATATTTGTGTAGTTTGCAGTTATTGTTATTACAGTCAATATTATTATGAATGTTCTTTTTTTAAAAATTCTTTACCTATTTTAGATAGTAGCTATTGTCTATTTTATGTGTTGCAAACATTTTCTGGTTCCTGTCTTAGTTTTGCATTTTCTTGAGGAGTGCATTTCTTGGTGAATGTATATTATTAGTTTTGATGTGGTGAAAATAATCATTCTTATTTGTTACGTTTTGCACTTTTATTTACTTGTTGAAGGAAATTTTCCCTATTCTGAAGATGTGTAGGTGTAATTCTGTATTTTTCATTAAAAGTTAATTTTGTGCTTATGTTGGTAATGTGCACAGAATTGATTTTTATATCTTGAATATGTCAATATATTTTTATTTCTTTCCATATTGATACAAATCATCCCAATATAATTTGTTGAATAGTCCATCCTCTCCCCACTGATCTGCAATACTACTATTTTGTCGTATATAGAGTTTCCATCCATGCATGAGCCTGTTCCTGGGCGTTTAAATCTTAAACCTAAAATAATCAATTCAAAAGTGTTTGGATTTTGTATGTGAACAATAGGCAATCATATTGACTACTCCTAATGGTATTTTCTTTTTTCCTCTGTAATACCAATACTTTTCATTTCATTCTTTTGTTTCTCTGTAGTTGCTAATACTGCCAACATTTTGTTAAACATGAGCAGGAATTCAATTTGGTAGTAATATATTTTTTAACACCTGATTTTTTCCAGAAATTATTGTTTTAAATATTTATATCTATGTGAAAATAAAATTTGTGTGTAATATTATTTTTAACTGCCATTGTCCAATTATGGTACTAAAACTAGTCGTGATTTTTAAAGTTATTTAGAAAGTATTCTTTTTCCCCTGTTTTCCTGGGTAATTTTTGTAATATTGATATTTTGTTTCTCATGGGATTTGAGTAGAACCTGTAAAACCATCTAAATTCGGTGTTGGTTTGCATTTTCAATGAGTGAGCTTTTGGATAATACATTTCTTTAATGATTATAGGAACAGTCAGTGTTATTTTTCTAATATATCAGTTTCATTGTTATCTTTTTCAGAAATATGTCTGTATTGATCAAATTTCAAATTTATCACAAATATTTTGATGTTATTTACTTGTGCTTAAAAAATAACTCATGTTATTGATTACTTCTGTCAACTTAAATTTTAAAGACATTACTTTTGTCTTTTTAAAAAAGTAATCATGCTAGATACTGCGTATTTACTAAATTTTGTTATGTTGTTCTTTTAAAAATATTTTGGGTTGGATGTTTAGCTCATGTATTATTTCTTTATTTTCTAATATAAACATTTAGGAAAACAGCTATTTATCTATGTTACATATATATGTATAATTTTAAGGATTTTTTAAGTGCTGCTAAAATTTTCTTTTACCAACCTTGAATTTAATATCATTTTTATCACTATTGCTTTCTCTCTCTATT